GCTTAGTCTTTCTAAAGTACTGCTTCAGCCATGCTGTTCTGCTTTAAATAATTCCATGTTTGTCATCCAGGTCACAATTCTGTGGCTGAATCAATCTGCCAAAGAGGTTATGAACACAGGTTCTGGAGATCAGCTGCCTGTGTTCAAATGCCAGTCTCATCACTATGTAATTTTTTTCAAGTCACTTAACTTCTGAGCCTCAGTCTCCTCTATGAAACAAGGGGTAACTATGGAATCACCAACTCCTAGGGTTATGTGAGGATGAAGTAGTGAGTCCGTAGGAAAGAAGTATGCAATAAAAACCACTGTGATGAGAGCTCTCCAAACCTAACACTGACCCTTCTCTCTGCCTTAAACGCCTCTTTTTCTCTCCACCTGTATCAGTTACCGAGGGTTACATTGCACACCAGCCCAAATCTTCACAGTGTAAGTTATAACCATTTTCTTTGTCCACAATTCCACGGGTCCACAGGATAAGGTTCAGGGGGCATTCACATCTGATGGACCTTGAGCTGTCTGACATCACGATGGCCTTGCTTACAAGTGTAGACCTTGGGGATGGCTGGACCTCTGTCTTCTCTCCAGTTTGTTCATCTTTACAGGCCTTTTCCACCTCATCATGCTCCGTACTCAAAGCCTTCTCTTCTACATATTTGTGATTGTTGTTTTTGTTTTTTTAAAGCAGTAACCAGACTTTATGTGCTGGCTCCAGACTCTAAGGTGAAAGCCACAGCTGCAAGTTCTCTTAAGGACTAGTCTTGGAATTGGTGCAGTCACTTCTGCTGTCACTGTTCAAAGCAAGTCATAGGGCTACCTGGGACTCAGAAGGCGTAGAAGACCTCACCTCCTGCTGAAGGTAGATTACATAGTTTGGGCTGCCATAGCAAGATATGAGTGACTTAAAGGATTAAGTAACAGACATTTATTTTTTACAGTCTGGAGGCTGGAAATCCAAGATGAAAGTTCCAGTAGAGCTTATTTCTCTTGATGCTTCTCTTTCTGGCTTTCAAATGGCCACTGTCTCATTATGCTCTCAAATGGCCTTTCTTTTTTCAGAGAGGGGGAGAGAGAGGGAGAAGGAGATGGAAAGGGGGAAGGAAGTTGGGGGCGGAGAGGGGAAGGGGAGGGGGAGGAGAGAGGAGAAGAGAGGTAAGGCGAGGAGAAGAGAGACCATGAGTATCACCTCTGGTATCTCTTCCTGTTCTTACAAGGATGCAGTGCTGTTGGGTTAGAACCCCACCTCTAGACCTCATTGAACAGTAGTTATCTCCTTAAAGGTCCTGTCTTCAAATACAGCTATGTTATGGTATTGGGGCTTCAACTGATAAGTTTAGGGATGGTGGACTATTAGAGTTTATATCTAGATGTTCCTGAAAGACTCGTGCCACTCACAGATGGGGCTTTTGGGAGGTGATTGGATCACGGGGGCATGATACTCAGCAGAAGATCAGTCCACTACTAACTTTACAGCTAAATGTGATGTTCTGAGGTGAAGCTTGGCCTGTGGAGGTGACTCAATGGGGCCCTTCCCTCCTCTCTTGATCTCTTTCTACTTCTTCTTGTCTGCCATGCCATGAGCTCCTTCTCCTCTGCCATGCCACCCTGCCTTGGATCCAGCCAACTATGGACTGAAACCTCTACAAAATGAGCCAAAATAAACTTTTGTTTCTTAAAGTTGTGGTTGTCGGGTATTGTGTCCCAGCAACAAAGAAAGTAACTAAGACATGATTTGGTTCATAAAATGAGTGGCAAAATCACATTTCAAAGGGTATGCAGGATGGGAACCAAGTTTTTCTGTCACTAAAATCATTTCAGTCCTTCACAATTTTTCTCAGCCAATGTCAGTCTCTCAGCATTCGTGGAGTTCTGAGTGTAGACTACTTATTCATACAGTCATGTCCTGCCCTGGATCTAAGCATTTGCTTCAGGTTCTAATGGCAAGAGAATGAACCTTGACACCATTGTATTTTCACAGCGTCCTGCATAGAGAAAACCATAATGAATGTTTACTGAATGAATGAAACAAGGCAGAAGGAGCAGTGATCTCTCTTGGGCTCTTTTATAAGGGCACTCATTCCACTCCTGGGGTGCCCAAATCATTTCCTAAAGGCCCTGCTTCCCAACACCACCCATTGATGACTAGATTTCAACATGTACATTTTTAAGGTGACAAAAACATTCAGACCATAGCAATCAGTATATGACAGAAACAGCAAAGAATCAAGCTGGGCCAATACCAATCAATTCTTGTGTTTCAGAAGGTCGCAGCCACTTGAAGACCAATCTACATTTGACAGGTGGGTAGTCTGCGTGCTTTTGCTCCTTATATGTCCTAAGTCCTCCACCTGTTCCAGCTCTGGAGAGCTCTGTGTGAGGGGAAGAACTCGGAAGACTGGGCACTTGGAACCAGAAGACCTGGATTCCTGTCCTATGTCTCCTACTTCTTTATTGTGATCTTCAGAAAGCCATTTTTCTTCTCTGGAGCTCAGTTTCCTTGTGTATAAAAGAAGAGTACAGAATATCTTTTATAAGGTTTTTGAAAGCAAAGTATAGTATTTTAAGTGAGGCATACTGTAAATATCAAAAAACTTCACAAATATCCTTACTATTCTTAATTCTGGAACACAAGAATTGATTGGTATTGGTCCAGCTTCATTCTTTGCTGTTTCTGCCATATACTGATCACTATGGTCTGAGTGTTTTTGTCACCTTAAAAAGTTTCATGTTGAAGCCGGTGTGGTGGTACATGCCTGTAATTCCAGCACTTGGGAGGCTGAGGCAGGATGATCGTTGCAAGTTCGAGACCAGCCTGGGCTACAAAGTGAGTTCAAGGCCAGCCTGAACTGTATAGTGAGACCCTGTCTCAAAAAAGACCAAGAAAACAAAAACAAAAAGAAAAACAAAAGTTAAATGTTGAAACCTAGTCACTAATGGGTAGTGTTTGGAGGTGGGGCCTTTAGGAAGTGATTTGGGCACCCCAGGAGTAGAATGAGTGCCCTTATGAAAGAGCCCGGAGAGAGACCACTGCTCCTTCTGCCTTGAGAAGATACATAGAGAAGATGACAGTCTATGAATAATCAGAAAATGGCCCTTCCTGGATACTGAATCTGCTAGTATCTTGATCTTGGACTTCCCAGCCTCCAAAACTGTGAGAACTAAATTTTGTTGTTCACAATCTACCTGGTCTAGTAAGTTCTGTTATAGCATCCACACCAGCCCTCTGGCCCAGTTCCTGTAGCCTCTGGCATATTGTGAAGTCAACATATGATATTTAGTATATTTTTCCCAATGCCTATCAACAGGTATGAGAGGAATGCAAAGTGAAGACCATTGTCTTGACATTTCCAATTGGATACAGAAGAAGTGGATTTGTTCTTTTAGGTTCCTAACTTCATGATAGGTAGAAAGACCTTCTGAAAATGACGTTGTTTTGTCTCTAAATACTTAGACCCCTATGTCATAAGATTTCAGCTTTCAGAGCAAAGACAACCTAACTCCTAAGGTAGCTTCTGAGTTAAGAAAAATCATCATCATAGTGAGTTAATTTTTAAAATTCACAGGCTGTTTGATGAACTCTAGCTGGTTACAGGGCAAGAGCTGACATCACTGCATCTTTAATTACTGATGAACAGTAATTCTCATTCTCCCAGGCCCCCAGAGTCTCTATTGTGACCAAGGACCTTGTATCTCATCTTCTTTATCTGCTTCCACTTATCACCTCTACTTGCACACCACTGTGGATTGAATGAGAATGATGATGCCACTGTCTTTATGAGGTTCTGCAGAAAGAATGGTGCTCATTAAACAATAGAAGCCAATTAAGTTGACCAGACATAGCCATGATCACCCTTAAGGCCATTATTCTATAAAGGGTTATGTAGAGGACATTTTTCCAGCTCTCTGTGGTATATTTTCTAGACATCTACGCTTAAGGGTCTGGAGATAAGCAATTAAATATCAAAGAGAACTGTAAATGTGAACTGTTGACCGTAGCAATTAGCACTTGCATTGGTATTGCTGTCACCTAGCATTGAACATATCTCCATAGACTTCTAGCATGAAGAAGGTGCTTTACAGATCAACCAGCCCAGTGGATCTAAGGGTATCATCTAAGAATGGTCTGCAAGATACATTTTGAGATTCTTGGTAAAAATTCATCTGGGAATCCATCTCTAGATCTACTCACTTGGAAACCCTCCGAATCTGAAATCTTTAACAAGCCTGCCAAATATCATTTGGGGATGTTCAGTGTGAATACTGAAATAGTCCATGCCCTTGCTGCTGAAGATGTGGTCTGTATAGGAGCAGCATGAACATCACTGGAGCTTGTTTGTAGTGAAGAATCTCAGGTCCTGCGAGATCTCCTTCATGAGGACCTACTTTTTAACAAGTTACCCTTCTGAGTGGTAGAAATATTAAAGTATGAAAAGACCAATCTAACTTGGTTACTGAATATACAAAGTAGCTGGAGTCCAAGACCTAACTGACTTGACCCAAATATCAAAGGTAAACCAGAAGGTTGCATGGAAAGCAAAATAAGACCCTATGCTTAGAGTCAGAGAGGCCGGTGCTCAAATCCTAGCTCTCCTCTTTGCCAGCTTGAGATCTTAAGTAGTTCCCTGAAAATCTCTGAGCCTCAAATGATTTGTTGTTAAAGGAGTAGTCATACTGCCTCCTAGGCTCCTTGGGAAGTTAAAATAAAAACGTGTAAAACACTCAGAAAACTCTTAATCAACAGCTATTATGACCATTATGCTAACTTCCATTTCCTGATGCTGTGCTGCCTCTTCAGAGTCCTGTGTTGCATGCAGGAAATGGGAAACAGGGCTATAGATAAATCTGATCTTTTCGAGGCAATTATATCTAATTTAGATTCCATGGTTTGAAAGAATGAGGACAAGGGAGGGGGCCTCCAGAGGACAGTAAACAGAACGCGGTTCAGCTGTGAGATCACAATTCCTGCTTTCCTGAGTCTCCCTTCCTTGGCTTTCTGTGGTGACCTGAAGAACTGACCAGCTGCTGAGGGAGCAGCCGAGTGGGAGAGGCTTCTGCCCAGGCCTCCTCAGCCTCTGAGGCTGCTTCTTTTCCTCACCCTTGGGGGCTTTGCCTCCTCTGGCCCCCAGCGTTCTCCTGCAGCTTCTCACTGCCTTCCAGAGCAGCCTCCTGGAGAGCCCCACTAATGCTAGGCCTCCCTTCCACACGTCACAAGTTCTCTGGCCTCTGCCTCATCCTAGAAGACTATCCAGCTAAGGTGACAGATCAGTTTTAACACTGGCTTCACTTCTATTCAAATAATATTTGCATATTAATGCCATCTTTTTGTCTTAAATGCTGAAGAACGAATCAGCCGTCATTCAGTGGTGTGGACGGTTTTGAGTGGAGTGACAATGGCATCCTTTCAGCATTCCTCAAACTCTGTGACAGATGACAGCTCTCACCAACTTCCACTGAACAATTGCTAAGCGCCCTCTCTCCTCTCTTTCATTTACTTTCTCCTTCTTTGTCTCTCACTTTGCAAACCAGTTGGCATCCCCAGGTTTAGAACACAAACATCAGAGTCAGACACCCTAAGTTCAACCCAAGCTCTGCCTTTCAATCCCTCTGCAATGTAGTCAAGCTGCTTCCCCATCCTGTGCCTTAGTTAACTTACCTGTAAAATGTGCGGTTGAGAACCTTGTTGATTGACCAGGCTTTTGTGAAGTTTGAATGCATAAATTTATGTTAAATGTCTGAAGGACTCCTGGCAGCGAACAAGCAATGTGCGAATCTTTGTCTTAGTCACTTTCTAATTGCTGGGACACAATACCAGACACCCAAAATTTAAAGGAGGAGAGCTTTATGTTGGTTCATGGTGACAGTCCACCATTGACTGGCTCTAAGGCAGGACAGCATGGTGGAAGGGACTGGCGGAGGAAAGCTGCTCATGTTATGGTTGCCAGGAAGCAGAGAGAGAGGGGAGGGAGGAGCTGAGAAGGGAAACATACCCTTCCAATTGTGCTCACAGTGACCAGATTCTTCTGACCAGACCCCACCTCCTAAGAGCTAGTGAGCTCCATAATCCAGGTACCTTCCACACTCAGGAGGCCTTGAGGGCCATTCGAGATTTAAACAGTAACAGTTGTTGCTGCTATAAAGTAGGCCCCAAGCTGGCTGCTGTGAGTCCAGAGATAGACAACCTGATTCCTATATCTGGTGACCCGAATGAAGGGAAGACCATGGCAAGATGGTACCATGAAGCTGGAATGGTACACAAAATATGTGCCTGAAGTCATAAAATTCCTGGAGGCGGGGGGCAGATTTGGCTTTAAGCTTCCAAGCAACTCGGGTCTAAGATAAGTTGTTTAGGAGAAATATGACTATCCTCGGTGCTAAGTCTGAAAATTATCCCTTGTGGATCTTCAGGGAAGTGGCACTATGTTATATAGCAACACATAGTAGATCAATTTTATGTTATAATGTCCTGATGTCTTTGCTGTGAATTGATGGCAGGGTGTCGAAGCACAAGAAGAAAGTGCTGTAGTGGAGGGATGGAGGCAGATTGACCACACCATTTGTTTCAGGGACTTGGGCAACTCAGCTCTTCAATGTTGTCTAAACCATTGACAGCTTGGAGAGCAGTGCTTCTCATTCTTTTTTTTTTTTTTTTAATTTTTAGTTACACTTAAATAAACATTTTGTTTTGAAATAATTTTAGGTTAACAGAAGAGTTACAAGGATGATACAGAGAATACATCTGACATTTGTCACAACTTAGAAGTTAACTCCGGAACCTTATTACTATCTAAACTCCAGACTTTTTATGGATTTCACTGCTTCTAACCCCCAAGGGCCTCTTTCAAGTTCCTGGGTCCCCTCAAGCATACCCACTGCATTTAGTCCTCCTGCCCTTTGCTCTGCAGCAGATGCTCACTCTTTGCATGCTGACAGTGACGAAGAATTGGGTGTTTTGTACAACCCCCCTCAGCGTGTACTTGTCTGACGTTTTTCTCATGATTCGATTGGGACTTGGGGACTTGGTGAAAAGGACGACCAGGTGGACCTCTCACCTCTTCTTAATCACATCATTTCAGGGCTACCTGAGATCAGTGTGGTCCGGCCCTGGTGATCACCTGGTCATTCGGTTAAGGCAGCGTTTTTCCTCTGTGGAGTGCTGATTTCCCCCTTTCTAGCCTCTGCTCTTCGGATGCATGGGACTCGGCCCAGCTCACACTTGTGGAAGTTAAGCTCCACCTTCTGGAGGTGAGAATATCTATTTCTAGTAAATGGAATTTATCTGAAGGTAAGGCTCGTCTCTTCTCTATTTATTTAATTCAACTATGTATTTATATCAACACAGATTTATGTGTGCTTTTTTTATATTTTGGGTTGTAACACAATACCATACTATTCATTCTGCTTTCCAAAATATTCCTGCTTCAGCCATTCGTAGCGATCCCCATGTCCCTTTAGCATGTCCTTTCTTCTTCTTTTTTTCCTGTCTTTGATGACTATCTTGCTTTCTAGCACAAAAAAGAGTTTCCAAACTCATATAGTATTTTCTATAGTCCATCCCCAGAGATGGTTCCTTTTACTGAAGGAAAACATTTAGAAACCAAGGTCTGGGCCCTGTGGGGGCCTGTTTCTGTTGAAGCATGGGCCATTTTTTGAATGTTCGTATACTGGTGCATACATTGTGTCACTAGGTATAAAATGAACCACTTGGTCCTTCTGTATCCTTCTCTCTGTTGTCCTGAATAGGTAATCTGATTTACCAAAAAGATTTTCATGTGGTCCAGCACACACATCTTGGCAATATTTTGTGCCTTCTGCCTCTTATTCATGGAAAAACATATTGTTTATAACACCACAAAAATATAATCAACTCAATATAGCATTCTAACTGATGCCTATTAACATATCAGAATGAAAGTTCATATAGTACATTATGTGCTCTGATAAAAATCTAGCAATAGGGCTGGGGATTTAGCTCAGCGGCAAAAGCGCCTGCCTGGCAAGCGCAAGGTCGTGAGTTTGGTTCCTGGTACCGGAGAAAAACCAAAAAAAAATAATTCTAGCAATATAATTATGGTAAGTTTATGGAATTCCTCCGCACACTGTTTACAAACCAGTCTGTAGCAGATATGGTTATTCATCTGTAAATATCACCATTTTTTTTTTTGTTGTTGTTAGCAGAATCTAGATTTTATTCAGGCATCTATCCTTCCATCTCTCTGCCACCTGTTTTAGAAAAAACCCCTAACATTAGCCTATCATAGTTTCATTCTCTTTGCCAATGTTTAGTTTACAGGTGGAAATGTGATTTACTTCTGGTCAATGATTTGTGGGGAAGTCAACTGGCAAGAAGGTTTCTGAGAGGCTGTGTTGGTGACAGAAGAGATCATGTCTTCCATCTGACACTCAGAACAGCAGCAGCTATCTTGAGAAACTAATGCAACATCCTGAGGATGGGAGAGAAATGCAGATGAAGAACCTAGACTTTGGAAGAAGTCACTGAGCTGATGAGTCAACTAACCCAGGAGACTCCCTACCTTTGTTAGGTGAAAGAATACGTCTTTCTTCTTGTCTTGGAAACATTGACTGCTGTCTTTTAGTTGCAGCCCAAAGCTTCATAACACAGCTATTCATTTTAAAATGAATTCTAAGAGATGGCAGCAAAAGAGAGTCATAGATCAAATGATCACATGCACATGTAAGGGCAAACTATGGTCCTTAAGAAGAAGGGAAAGTATGGGACCTCCGTGAGACTAACAGACACAAATTAACCTGGGAAGGGGAGTTATCAAGGTAAGACTTAGTCAGCAATGTGTGGACTGGGACTGGGGTCAGAGAGCAAGTGGAGGGGGAGGGAGGTGCTTTAGGAATAGGGTGTGGCATGCACACAGCTCCTGGAGGAAGTAGAAGAACGCTGTGGGCAGGAGGAACGAGGTGGAGGGAGGGAGTGGAGCTTTAAACACTGAAGAGGTTAGCAGTGTCCAGATGGTATTAGACCTTGGAGATCATAGAAAAGACCTTCCTGTTTCAAAGAAATAAAGGAATACATAAAGGGCTCTACTCTAGGTATAATAGGCTCATACAAATTCCTTGCAGGCCTTTCAGGGCTCAGTCTTGCCATAGCATTGCTCCTAAAAGCAAAACACTATCAAAATATGCAATTAAAAATAGCTCATATTATGTGTGCCTTTTACAGGGGGATCTTTGGCAGAGCATGCTAGAGCTCAACCAACATCTGCATTTGTGTTCTTCTACATTTCAAGCCTTCCTTGCAATTTGGTTGAGTCCATGGGACTGGATTTTAGCAGGAAATGGTACAGGCCATTTCCAAGTCTGGTTCTTAAAACTTTCTGTGTGATCCTTTGGCTTTCAGTGACCTCAGAGGTCATGTTTCCAGGTGACATAGCTACAAGATAAAAGAGGGCTGGTCACCTGTGACAGACTTTGTGTAGGAATTAAAATCCTCTCCCCCTTTTAAATTTTAATTTCCAATTAAGAATTGAAACCAGGGAAGGATGGGCATGGTGGTGCATGCCAGGAAGTCCCGCTCTTGAGAGGCTGAGACAGGAGGATGGCTGTGAGCTTGAGGCCAGCCTGGGCTACAAAGTAAATTCAAGGCCAGCCTGAACTGCATAATAAAACCCTGTTTCAAAACGACCAAAAAAAAAACTAATAATAAAAATGAAATCAGTAATTTGATTTTACTCTTAGGTTCCTTTTTCTATTCATTAAAAAGAAAGAAAGAAAGAAAGAAAAAGAAACCAGGGAGGGAGGGAAAGGAAAGGCAGGGGAGGGGAGGGGAAAAGAGAAAAACAAATTAGGATGTGTTATGCACGTGCACCAACTCCCCATGTAAATGTAATCATTATGCACTGCAGAAAAGTACTAATGAAGCAAATGGAAGAGAATCCAAACCAAACATTTTATTCTGATAATAATTAATTGCAGTGCTGTTTTCCCAACCGTGAGATTCAGTGGGACTAACTGATAATTAACGGATTTAGGTCAAGGTAAGAAGTAAGCAGCCCTCCTCGGATTCACCATTCAACAAATAAGGCACGGTTCTCCCTTGTATTCATTCTATTACTGCCTGAGACATAAGAAAACCACATGGAAATGAAGCCCAGAAAGCAGGTGCTGTCTGAAACAGCTTGCACACACTTTACAGAAGTGCAACTTTCAATTAAATTACACAGTGAACTTACACGGCTCATGCTTCCCACACTACATAATGGCAGTGCTATGGCAGCAGTTCTAAATTCCTGGAGAATCATCAACCAGATGCGCTCTTCAAATGGGGAGCTATGCAAGTCAAATCTTGGATCCCTTCTCCTGAGCAGATGTAATCAAAATTTTGTTTCTCGTGATCTTGAATTTGTATGTGTAAATATTTGCAGGTCCTTACAGCTGAGAAACTAACGGTAAAGAGGGAGCCAGACGTGTGCATTTGAACTCACTAGGTAGCTCGGGCTGACCTCGAGCTCATGATCCTCCTGCTTCAGTCTCCTAGGTGCGGGGGTTATAGGAGTATGCCACCGCTCCTGTGCTTTCTATTTTATTTTTTTGAGAATTAAATGATGCACTATAAATAGAATATGAATAAGTTATCAATCTACTTTTCCACCTTAACCCCAGTACTATATAGATTCTATTTTAAAATTTTTTCTTATATAGAATTTTACTTTTAATTTATAATTTTAAACATAGAAATTTATGGTGTAGCATGTAGTAATTAGATGCATGCACAAAGTAAGTAATGATTAAATGAGGCTAGTTCATATTTCCATCTCCCTAAGTAATTTTTTGAAATATTTTGATTAACACATAACAGTTATGCATATGTATGGGGTTCAGTGTGGTATTTTACTGTGTGGGTGCACTACGCACTGATCAAATCTGGGTAATCAACTTTTTCTCCTCCTTATCATTACTTCAAGGTCCTCACTTCTGGTTCTGAAAAAGATGTGTAACACGTTGTGGTGAACTAGACCCCTCCGCTGTGTGCCGCACGGCACTGGAAGTGGTTGCGTGCTCCCTACTGTGGGTACCTCCTGTCTAATCTCGCACTCTTGCCCCTCCCCCCATTCTTCCTGGCCTCTAGTCCTCACTATTTTACATCCTCATTGACTTTTACTTTTTAAACAACCACATATGAGAGAGAACATATGGAATAAAATCCGTAAGGTCCCAAGTTTTGGGGGCTAATTTGTTCTTGCAGCGTAACCTGACTGATTGTATTAGCTCCCCAGGTTGTTATACCAAATTATCACAGACTGGGTGGCAACAGAAATTTCTTCTCACAGTCTGGTGGTTGAAAGTCTGACATTAAGGTGGGAGCCTGGCCATGCTCCTTCTAGGAATCATTCTTCCTTGCTCCTTCCTACCGTGTAGCAGTTGCAGGGATTCTGGGCGGGGCTTGGCGGGTGCTTTCAACACTTCAGTCTCTGCCTGTGTCTTCCCAAGGGCTTCTCAGTGTGTCTCTGTGCCTTCTTATAAGGTCACCAGTGTCACATTTAGGGTCCACCCTACTCCAGCAGGGCCTTGTCCTAATTGTGTCCACAAAGACCTTGTTTTCAAGTCAGATCACATTCTGGGTCTCCAGGTGGACAAGCATTCTGAGGAATCATTGCCATTCAACCTACTACAACACAGGATATAGTTAATAATACACAGCTTAAAACCCTCCATTTCTCTCCCTTCTGGCTAAAGCACCTCTGGAGCTCTCACCACATCATTCCTCTGTTCCTCTTTCTCTTCCTCTTTGCCTGACTTTTAGCCTGCGAGACAATTGTTTGGCCATGATTTCACCTTCTCCTTCCACCTCTCTGTGTACCATCTCTCCAAACATTCCTCAGGATTCAGGATCCCAGCAGTCACAGACATCAGCCTGGCAAAGCAGTAGATCCTCAGAGGGCAGAGCTGAAATGAGGAAATTATGCAGCAGACACAAAGTATTTTAGTGAGGATGTGGAAATGGAAGACCAGAACTCTCAAACTGAGAGGATATCACAATCTAATTTGCATTTTAATTTGCCTTCTGGCTCATTGGCATGAGTCTGATTGTGGGAGTGGGCAAGAGCATAGGTCAAGAGGCTACTGGGAGGCTTTGGTAGCAGTGCTGAGAGCTGTCCAGGGTGATAGTAATAGAGGGCCGGTGGGGACACATTCCAGGGGTGACGTTGATAGGACTGAGCAGAGCAGGTAGGGAGAGAGTCTGAGTGAGTCTGCAAGCCCTCTCTTCAGGTGCATATTCAAAAATTCTTGTACGAGTCTGGAGGATCTTGACTGCAGACTCCAAAAACCCATCCTTGGTCCCAAGGTTCACAGTGCTGGCTCTAGAGGAATCCCTGCAGACTTCTGCAAATACTGCTTCTCTCATCCAGTTTCTGACAGCTTCTGGGTGGCATTCAGGCTGAGCTTATTCTTTGCAGATGCTGCCTGGAGTGGTTCAGCACGGCCCAAGTGACAGAAGCCACGAGCTCTAACAGTCTGATGCCCGAAAGGAGCAGCAGTGCCTCTGACAATGGTCCAGGGGGACAATGCACAAAAGACTCTCAGATCAGCACTTACCAAAAACAGCGAGCAGAGAAGACATGCTTTAAAAGTGGGAGAGTCCAATGGGTATCCAGCGGAAACCTCAGGTGGAAGCAAGCGAGGCAGGTCCATCCCAGATGCTGAGAAGAAGGAGGGTAGGCAAGAGGGAGCGGGTATGTCAGTCTTTGTGATCTGCACCCGTGAGTGTGCGGAGTCAGGTGAGAGCTGCTATCCTGTGTGAACACTCAGGACAGCCCACCCCGCACACAGTGAGTGAGTCTGCAAGCCCAGTTGGGGAAGGGCTTTGCTTTTCTTCCTGTGTGCTGGTGACATGTTCGAGCTGGGTCTTCAGGTATTTGGAAACTCCAAAACTCACAGATGGGTAAAGAGGGAGAATGAGCCAAATTCAGCTGGACTGGAGCCTCAGGGTAGATATAATTGGGAGTGACCATTTGGGGGAGCCTGCCTAAGAAAGGCAGCCAGATGTCTTAATTACCAGGAGAGACAGGGTTTAATCTGCTCTGGCAGCAGGAACCAAGGGGCGCAGCGTGGTGGCTGAGGACACAATAGTAAGGTCTCTGGTAGTCTTACTGGCCAGCATCAATGGACAGCAGTATTTTTGATCCAAGGAGGGTGCAGTTCGAATGAAGCAGACAGTGGCTGCTGGGCTGAGGGACAGGATTTAGCTCACTAGAGAGATGGGCCGGGAAGGATGGGGCAGGCTTTTAGGGTTTGGGTTCATCGGGGAATGGAAGACCCGTTATGAATCCAGATGGATTTAGTGACTGGACACACACGGTGTTGGTTGTGACTGGGGCTGTGATTCATGTAGGGAGTACACAGTGGGGCTCAGGGACCCTGGAGACTTCTTACTGTGGCTCAGAACCAGACATGGGGCATGGCCCTTGGCTTTGGGGGCTGTTGCTACGTGGTCAGGCTTCCTTCTCATTGGCTCCTTAACTCTGCCTGAATACCCAGCAGGTGACATTGGGTCTCTCGCATTTACAATGGGCATATGGGTTCCTGCTAAGATTTAGGACCAGGCTGGGGCTCCTGTAGGCCTGACTGGATTCCCCTTATCCTCTCCTGGGCCATGGGGCTTTTACTTTCTTCCAGAACCTCCAGAAGCTGCCCACATGACTGGGCACTCTTTCTTCACCTCCACATTGCGTATCATTGCCCTTGAAAGTACTATGTTTCCGTCTTGGGACCTGGAGTCAGGCTACCTGGGCTGACTTTTGCTCTGGTGCTTTCCGTAAGAGTAATTTTGAATAATTTTTTTTATTCAAATATAGCTAACTGTAAACCAAGGGTGAATAAGAGAATTAAGATCATGAATGGAAAGCACTTGCTCTGATATTATTGTTATATTTCATTGGTAGCTGATTTGGTTGGGGGTTGGTCTTGTAGCCAAAGCTGT